TTATAAGTCCATTATTTAAAATGATTTATCTTAAATAACTAAATTGAGTAGTATAAAATATAAAATTTTCAAACTTAGTATAGAGTCTTGCATTTCTTGGTTTTTTAAATTTTGTAGTATGTGTACAAATGAAATTTAGACAATGTATTGGTATACTAATTTTGAGTGTGTACACAGATTTAGAGATCAATCAAATAATTAGATTGAAGTATTTGAGGATTTTTGTGGATTGAGGTCTCAAAAATTAGAATTTGAAGATAAGTGAGTATTTTTAAGATCAGTAGCAATCTTTGAATTGGATTGAAAAGAAATTTTTTTATATAAATATTAGACTTAATTTTTAATATTTGAAGAAATTTGAAAGAAATTTATTTTGTAATAAATTGTAGATTGATCCAAATGATAATTATATTCTTTCTTGAAGGTCAATTGAGCAATTATAGAGATAATATTCCAAAAAAGTATTTGCAATATTTTTCCTAAATACATCTTTAAAAACTTGATATTGGCTAAAATATTATTTAAAGCCTTTCAACTATTAAAAATAAGTATGGCATAAATGACACAAGGTGATTCTTTTTTTACAGTATGCAAAAAAAATCTCGTCCCTACAAATACAAATTTGATTGTATTAGACTTAAGAATTTTTATTTGATTATTTATATTCTTAATTATACTTTTAAAAAAAATCAAGACTACAAGAAATCCAATATATTCAAAGATTATACTTTTTTAATCACAATAAACTTAAAATAATTGGATTAGAATGAGATCTAATGATATTAAATACTACAAAGCCACTATATCCATTAGTTATTAATTTTAGAAGAAATATCTCATGAAAACGTCTCTAGAGGATAATGGACGACTATCTATGACTTCTACATGAACAAGTTTTATTTTTTAATTAAAGATATGTTATATCTTTTAATAAATTTTTTATCTTAAAAAGAAGCTAAGGCTCTTGAATCTAGCAAGGTAGAAGCTTTTTGATGTTTAGGTTCTAAATTAACATCTACTATAAAATAAGAAGGAAATTTTAAAGAGAGAATATAACCTTTGTTAGGTGTTGTGCAAGGTTCTAGCCTCACGATTCCTATTATAGCTAGACAAACTCGTTTTTTGACATATTATCTTCTTTGACATTCATACCTTTTATTTTATGATTGCATCACTTCTTTGGACAATGTTGAATAGTATGCTTTGGTTTTCCACAACATAAATACAATCCTTCTTGATAATAACAAGTCTTTTCTTATTCAATAAGAGATTTAAAACATACTACATTAATTTCCATATCTTCTACTTCTAAAGGTACATGTTAAAAAGACGTTGGTATTGCCAATGAATTTTAATAACATTGAGGGTTACTTATGTGATTCTTAGATCAAAATTCAAAAATTCAATTATCACACTTTATAGCAGAATCAATTGCTTGATTTAATGTATAAGAATCAGATAAATTAAGCATCAATTTCTTTACTCCATATTGTAATCCATAAAAAAAATTGGCTAATAAATGTAGTATCAACTCATTTGATATTAATTACAAAGTTATCTAAATTATGAAACATACAATATTATAGATTAATTTTCTTATTGTAAAATATAGATCTTCTTTATTGTAGTACAAACTACATCATATTTTCTATACATAGATTAAATCTCCACCAAAAAAGCTTCTAAATTTTCTAATATTAAATCAAATTATTCAAGAAAAGATAAAAACCATAATAATATAGAACTAAAAAATGATATTCCAATAAATTTGACTTGTGATCCTAAAGTTGGATACTTTTGGAGTTGAAGTTCAATTTCCAATTATATTTGATTGATGAATTCCTAAAATTTGATCTTATACCATCAAATTTTTTAAGTAAGGCAATTTTTGGTTCTCTAGTGCTTGGATGGTATTCTGCTATAGGAGAAGGATCATGATTAGGTATAGATGTTGAAGCAACTCTAATCATCTCTACATCTCTATCTTTTGTCATTTTAGTGGTAAATTAAGTTGAAGCATTGCAAGCATTAATTCTGTCAATTGTTCTTACATTTGTTCTATTGCACTCCTGATTTTGACAAGCTTTGCTATAATAACATTTAGAAGAAAAGAGATGTCTAATATTACTTAAGATAAATAAAAGAAAGAACTTTATAATAAAAAATTACTAAAAATAATATTAATTTAGAAAAAAGTAACATGTAACTTCTAATATTCTTATTTTTTATGAAGAAAAAAGAATAATCCACTCTTAATGAAGAAAAGACAAAGCTTTGATATTATAAGTATATTTTTGTGAATTTTTCAAAGATAAAAACTTGATGAAAGCAAATAAATAAGTAATAATTTTTTAAAAAAATATAAAAAAATAAAAATAAAGAAGTATGTATATTAAAAAAAAAACCAAAATGGCTATTGCCAAAAGATAAAAAAACTAAAGACTTCTTAAAACTAAACTAGAAACAAGAAAGGAATTGACAAGAGTGAAGAAGACTTCATTCTTGCCTCTATATATACTATCTACCTAAGAGCTACATGGTGACATTCTATATGACCTCCAAAACATGTTGATTTTGTACAATACATATCTTAACTTGTAAGGCAAGTTTTTTATATAGGCACCACATAATTAACTTGTTCTGCAAGCTATCAATACATATGGTACATGATTAATTTTTTATTTAATTTTGTAACCTATCAATCAACTAAAAAAAATATAAAGTCAAAGCAGTGTCTATAAAGCTTCTATTAAGCTTTCTTAGATGATTTTATATAATTTATTTATTTTTATCTACTTTTACCTATTCATATTACCTAAATAATAATTACAATAAAAATATGTCTATAATAATAGAAAGACAAGGAAAAAAAGGAGAAAAATTAAGATCTACTCTAAGATAAGAGAGAGAAGGAATAAGACTTGTACCAAGATAAGGAAGAAAGGTGGAACTCGCATCAAGGTAAGAAAGAGAAGAAAGAGGTCAAGATCTACACCAAGGGAAAGAAGAGAAGGATGGAATTGGAATCTATATCAGGACAAGAAAAAAAGAATTTGGATGAACCAATCAGAAGCCTTAGGTATATGTATAGATATAATAGATGTACATACAACAACTTAAGGTGTGCTTGTAGCTTAAGTCTATTTTTTATCTCAAAGCCATAACCTTTTTTTTTTTTGTAATTTTTTAGAAATTCTAATATTATTTTATTTAATTATTATAAATAAATTTATATAATGATATCAATTTTTTATATTTCTAATAATTTATTTATTTGATTAAATTATTTAAAAGTTGCATCAAATTTTATCTATTCACATTCAAAATAGATTCACCATCTATAATTAAATTTATCATTTTATTATTATTTTAATATATTTATATATATCTTTTAATTATATATTATAATCCATCTATTTTTTAAATTTTAAAGCTATATTATTTTTTAAGTTTTAAAATTTATACTTAAATCTATAAAAAATAAAAAATAAAAACTTAAAATCTAATTTTATATCCTTTTACTTCTATTCAATATTGATATGCATTAAAATCAAAGAATGATTCTTCAAATTTCATAAAAGCAAAGCTAAATTGATCTTGATTTTTTATATGATCTAGTGTTGCCATAAGCAATTGCATTAATTTCTTACCATTATAAGAGTTTAAATTTTTATAAATTTATAAAACATATATTAAAAAAAAATAGACAATATTAATACCTTTATATCAATAAAATTAGAATCTAAAGCTTCTATCATTATTATTATTATTATTATTATTATTATGAATACTAACAATCAAATCATAAAAGTCTTTTTTTCATATAAAGAACATTATATAAATATTGGATCTAAAATTCTTTCTTTTATAATACTCTTTATTTTAATTGAGGTTTTAATATTCTATTTCAATTCATGAGATGGTATTTTTTCTTTAAGATAGTAATATTTTCAAATCTCTTCTTAGATATTTTAGTAACCTCTTTAAATCCCTAAGTTGTTATTCTAAGAAACAATACTAGAAACTTGTTCCTAAGTTCCTAAGTTTCCATATTGAACTCCACTTTTTTGGTTGAGAAGAGCCTTGGAAGATACCAAATTATCTAAGGTGGAAGAGAAAGAGAAAAGAAGGGGTTTACTAAAAGATCTATGACCTTTTTTATCCTTACCAATTTTTTCCTTTATTTTTGCATCAATGTTCTCAAGCTTAATAACCTTAAGAAATAGAAAGAAGATAGATTTTATATTAATGATGACTTAATAAATATTTGACTTTTTTGAAAATCTTTAAAATCTAATCTTGAAGATAATCTTCTATTTTTTAAAAAATACACTTATTTTTTATTTATTCTATTATAACAACGCACTCTTCAATATTTTTTTTAAAATATCCAAAAATGCTTTGATGCAAATAATATCAACTAGATCATTCTATCCTATAATTTTTCAAATAACTTCCATTCTTCTTTTTATTGCTTTAATAATAAATATAGATGAATTTAATTTTTCCAATAAAATTAGATAAGCCTCAACATCCTCCTCCATTACTATATTGCTCCATAACAAGTATTTTGATTATTCCTTTCCAAAATTTGTCTCAAGAGGTGCATCATTAGCTCGAAGTCTTTCTCTACCTTCTTTTCTTTTCAGAGAGACAACTTCATTTTTCAAGGCCACGACATGATTAAAAATTCTTATTCTCATGATCAGGACTACCACCCCAAATTTCACATTTTGTGATCAAAGGCTATTTCTAATATTAAAACTCAATTTCAAAACAAACATATATATTTCGATTTATGAATATGAATTTGTATTAAAGACGTTTGAATTTTTTAAATTTATAGAAAGTTTTCAATAACAATAATAATAATAATCTAGGAAAATAAAAACAGAAAAAATCAAAACAAAACAAACAGTTATCACATGTATTGTCTAAAACGCCATTTCTATGCTACGATTTCGGAAACCTCAGGAATAGGTTACATAATTCCATTCAAATATAATGAAATGAAAACCTCTTATATGATTGGTTCAAGAACCTTCAGATGATAATCACCTTGCATAAATTAATTTTTTGTAAAGATACCCAACTAATGCTTCATCAACTAAGACATCCACAAGCAAGTTAGCATCCTACAATCAGAGTTGTAGACACGAGGGAGGATTCAGCCGGGTATGCGGCTGGTTGAGATCATTACCCTGGAGAAATTCCTCACCTTTCCATAGCATTTTCCTCAAGGATATGACAAAGCTTACTATGTTACCAGTTTAAGGTCTACCCTGCCGTCCATACCATCTGCACTGCTTTTACTAGAACACCTAGAACAATATCATGCAATGTCGCTTGTGTAGCTGCTGAGTACATAGTTTGCATCACTCAAATGTGCTCATACGTCGCCATTACCATCACCGCTACTCGAGAACATATTCAATCACTGGATCTGAACACAATACCACAAGTTAGAAGCTTGTAGCTGTGCAAGCATTCTATCTGCCGATTCGACAGACCCACATGTTGCACTGAAACATCACATGCTATCAACGAAAATCAAGTACTAACAGAGATATAGAATGGTATCTTCGCATACTTCTTCTCAGTTAGCGTGGAGGTTGATCTATAAAATTTGACATTGATCTCCCATGGAACTTTCTTATTCTTGCCCCCATACAAATCAAGGTCTGCACCCTGCAATGTTCCAGAATAATCAAGTAAGATAGCACATCCCTAGAGTAGCAGCAAGAGTGTTGTACCAATGACAGGTTTTCAGAAACACACAACCCACATGATGCACCAGCATTCTTAAGGGTCAAGTTAGACATGATAAATCACATTCCGTAATGAATGATAACTGATCAAAGCGAGATATTGTGAATGGCTAGAGCATGGACAAGTGAAGAATAAGATTCATCATTAAAGGGTCTTACTTCTTGCAATTCCAAAAAGCATCCACAAAGATCATGATGTTCTTGATGGCAACCGAGCACACCATGCAACCAAGCTCAAATACTCCCTACACACCATGCAACCAAGCTCAAATACTCCCTACACACCATGCACAACCGTTACCAGATCAGTGCCCCACTTCTTCAGATCATAAGATTGTGATTGTCAATAGAAGCAATCACGAACTGAATATCGACACCATTGTCGTCATTTTCTAAGATGCTAAAGATTCCCACTTGTACGATCTTCCTGGGTAGTCAACACCCAAGTCTTCAACGTGGCAAGCAGCAGTGAAGTGTAGGTAGGACTTCAAACGCTAACAAAGCGCACAAATTAAATTGACAAATAAGAAAAAATAAGAAGAAGATATCTAGCAATTGCACCTGCGAGTTCGGATAGTAGCAGGACACTTCCTAGGCATTCATTGATTAGAGAACAAGCACATGTTGAGACGTCAATGTAGAGAAACAATCAACATTCAGTCAAGATGGTGCATTACAAAATACACACGTGCAGTTTATAAGTTCAATGATAAATTTCACCCGCAAACTCTAAACCTGGCTAAGAAAATTTCAAACAAGAATAACATTTACAACTGCTCAGGATTCTGAATCTGCTGCTGATTTCAGAGATTAGTAATTTCTGCGGGCCCTCTCATGATTTGTGCAAGCCCTCCTTTCAATGAAGACTCATTTGAGAAGTCGCAATCTCTACCTGCGTGAAACTAAAGTTGCCATGCTCTAGACAAACTACACAATTTGAGACATGGATTTAACCCTGAAACCCAACATGCATCTAGAACTCAGATCATGCAGAAGCTGCAATGCCATGGAATGTTTGAATGGAGGAACCTTAATAGATATTGAGAACATCAATAATGGTTTGTTTGCAGAGAGGGCAGCACCCTCTAGTCCTGCGCACTTCCCGACAGCATCTCCGGCAGAACGTATGTCCACATGGAATAAATGCTGCACCTTTGTGGCCAACCATGCACACGCAGCACATGGGATCCAACTGCTCTGTCACATGATCATCCGGTTCATCTTCATATCCACCCCTCTCCGCTTGTGCTCCGTTCTCGTCCATTTCCATATCTTGGTTCAACAAAGACAACAATGACACGCGCCTCGGAGGCTCTTCTCTTGCTGGTGTCGGGACAACAACCTCTCTCGCTTCCTCATGGGGACCCTCCATTCCTGTTCCAGAATTTGGAGGGTGCTGAATCTCTGGACGGTGAACCATGTCTGGACTTAGTGAGGGTTCAACTGTCCGAAATTCACCACTGAAAGAGTCATCCACAACGACATGCGGGGTCCGGACTGGCGCTTCACTTGCAGTAATTTGCCAATTAGCATCAGGATCTCCTGATAACATCCCAACCATGTTAACACTTGAGCTCCTAGAACTTGACGACTGGCTTTCAGGTAGAAAAGGAGAGCTTATTCGGCTTCGGCTTAATGGTAGCCAGTCCAGCTCTTCCCTCGCCCGTTCTAAAAGAGTACCCAATTGAACTCTTGGTGCTTCAACCCCCTCCCCAACAGTATTTGTATGCGCTATATCCCTCCTATCAGTAGGACTTGTTTCGTCTACATGAACTGCGTCTGCGACAGTGTTGAGAACTTCTCCAATACTCGCTGTGGGCTCCAACAGCGGAGAGTGCGGTACATTCAAAACATTTGAAATTGAAGGCTTCAGGACAATGTTTGGAGTATCCACTGCTGATTGAGTAGAAAGGTCCACATTGACGTCCATAACTACATCTGCAAAAAAAGTAGGACTCAAGAAGTTTTCATCCCCTTCCGTCACGTTCGTACTGCCTTGCAAACTCTCAGAAGTAGGACTCAAAAAGGCTTCATCTACTTCCATCACGGTTTCACTGCCTTGTACACTCTCAGAAGTAGGGCTCAGGAAGTTTTCCTCTCCTTCTGTCACAGTTACACTGCCTTGCATACTCCCAGAAGTAGAGCAAAGAGTACCCTGTGCAGCTGGGGTTGAGAAAATCGGTTCTACGTCATGCCCGACCAGGCTCTGGATTTCGTGCCTTTCATGCGCGGCTTCCCCTTCGATGGGATTCGTACGTGGGGTCAAAAACTTCGTAATCAGGTATTCCAACCGAATCTGAGACTCAGGGTGCACTGGAACAGAAATGTCACTCAAAGATCCAATTTTGGCGCGTCTACTGCCCTCGCCCGTGTTTACTGCGGTGCTCCATCTGGAGGACATACCTCCAACTCCTGTAATTCCTTCCCTCAGGTCTGCACCGCTCTGAACGCGATCAGTCGCAACTTCCTCAGCAAGCAAAGTACCCAGTGACGGTTTTGGCCCACTACATCCAACCTTTGGCTCCTCAGGAGATCTAGAACACACATGCCCAGGACCCTGCACGTTGGGTTCCTGCGAGCCGCCAACCCAACTTGCAATATTGGCGGTGCTCAATGAAGATAAAGAGTTGACTCTGCTCGACTCCATCCTTGTTGCCTGTCCAGTGGCAAAGTTTGAAGAGCTTGGAGATTTCTCACTTTTCGAGGATCTCGTTCGCCGTCTTGGTGCCATCTCAGCCCCGCACAACGATCCTGAGTCCCAGAATTCGTCTTCCTCGTCAGAAGTCTGCATCATCCAGTCCCTTGCGTAGAAAAATCGTAGACCCTGTGAATCGTCTGATTTCACTGATTTCGGGGCCTCTCCGTTAGTTTTTCTGTTAAGGGTTCCAATGTCCCCAACCGCTGAAAACCTTACGGGTCCAGCGTACCTAACTGAATCATTAGCCATTCCCTTTCTTGGACCACAAGAGCCCGCCATATCTGCGGCAAGCAGATCCCTAAGCGGTTGCACATTCTTCACAACTTTACTGGCGATCACTGATTCTTCAAGCTCTAAAATAGCCATTCTGCGGTTCTCCGTCGCATTCTCTTGAATGAATAAAGCTCCCAAGGGTGCCAGCAGCTCATCTGGCTGAGAAGTGAGACGTACCCCCGCTTTTTTGAACACTCTAATCTTGTGCGACACTTGACTCATTGAAGTGCGAAAGGTTTTAGGGGATGACGACCCTGATCGAGCACTGTGACTCCCTGCTGTATTCACGTTGCATCCAGTATTGCATCTTCTATTGCCTTCTTGAACGTTATCTATACCTACTCTGCTCCTCGCTGACGACTGGAGGATAGGACCCGTTGATTCCGACGTCCACATCGACGCCGGTTCCTTTGAAGCAAGCGTTCGCAAAGGTGTTTGCGATCTGACATGGTCAAATTTGCTACTTCTATGGGCAGATACTCGATGGACTTTCCGTCCTCGACTACAAACATCTTCTTCCTTCCCCATCGTTAATCAGCCTTAGATCGACCCCTACTGCCCTGCTTTACTTTAGTTTGATTTTTGTATCACTATAACCAGAGGCATTCTTCTCGAGATTGAATTCAAAGTCAAAGGCATGAGCTCCGGTATAAGAGCCAAGAGCAAAGCAGAGGCATATTGACATTGTCATGAGATGATTCCTCTCCTCATTTCACAACGGTGTGAAGGGGCGCTCGCACATGCAACGCCCTAGGCTCTTAGAGCCAGCAATAATCCCAACTCCGTCGTAACATCGATAGGAGGTTTGCCCACACCATCTTCCGGGTTGTCATAGCCGTTGCACACCAAAACAGAACGAACGGAATCTGCAGAGCCCCTCAATCATCTCCAAGAAACCCATGATTTCTGAGTGCGCTCAGTAAGTCATACGTTCCTACTACGCTCTCCCGACGAAGGCTCTGACGCAGAAAACAACCTTCTCGAAATCCGCGACGACGAATGTACATGCCCAGACAGTGCGAATATCTCACCATACGACATACCGTAGGTCTTCAGCATCGCCACCGCCAAGTACCAGAAAAAACTCCGCCAGCTACCTCCTCCGCCCCGTCACTTGCGGTCACTTTCACCTCTCTGACATTTTCTGAACAAAACACGAAATCCTGGAACCATTCGGCTTACATTCTACGGCATGCAGGGGATTTCAAATGTGATGCCTCGACTTACCAGCGCACACGCTAAACAGAGGAACCCAACAGTGACCCACGAAACCGGACACCTGGAAGCGCGAAATGCCAGATCGTGCAACCGCGGTGGCAAAAGTCACAATGCAATCGCTCAATCCCTTCACGCACAGCCTTTCCTCCACAATCCTATTGCTACCCTTGCGGAACACTCATCACTGAACGCCCCTCCAGTGTATCAATGGCCAGTCACATATACCACGAAGTTCCGTTGCAAATTCGCTCAAGCTCCTAATCCCTTCGCTTTCATTTCACTCACTCCTCCACAGCCACAAGATTTGGGAAAAAAAAAAAAACACTTGCCACACGCCGCCGTACATTTCTGCTCCGTTTGCGAAGGCCACTCAAGTGCCATGAATGCACGAATGGCGTCGCGTTGATCCCCGAATTTCCGTAGTCTCGGTGCCGACACCCTCGCTGCCTCGCAGCCATTGCACCGTTCCAAGAGAACCCCATCCAAGCGAATCAATGAATTCATTCGTTCATATCTCGAAAATCATTCGTCGCTTTGCATCATGCCATGCTGGAGAGGTCAGTTCTCAGCTTTTTGGTGAATCACACTCTTTGCATTCCTCTTAATATATCTCATTATTCATGTTTTTTCCTGTTTTATGCGACAGGTGAATCAGCCCTAATGTCTACACCCAGCTATGCGCACAAAAAATAATTAGGGTAATCTTTCAAATGCCCTTGGTTTCTTTCTGTTTTATAGACGTTGCATGATATGTGTTTTCATTGAGAAGAGTGGAGTTTGACCTGTACGAAAAATTGTAATGTGTGTGTTAATTGCATAGCAAATGTATGAGTTTTAAATAATAACATTGTATCTAGCAAAACATGTTTGATAATCACTAGGGTGCTATACAGGATTAATAATAATGGTGTATAATGACGCTCTGCAATTTTTAAACAGTTTATGAGTTTTACATAAATGCGTATCGACCTTAATTATAAGAACAAAGTGAAGTGATTATTTACCTGTGCAGCCACAAGTTATACATTATTTAGTGAGAAATTTTTACAAATCCTATGGAACTCATAAAATCAATATATATATATATATATATATATATATACGCAAAAAATCTAAAAATATAACTTGTTCATACACATTTCATTTTTTACACACAACATTAATTGCAATCTTCAAAATTATAATATTTAATTTATAACATTTTTATGATTATATTTTTCAATATTTTACTATTTCAGACTAATCTCTTTACGTGAGTTTTTTTTGCCATTATTTTGTTTTACTTTATTTTAGTATTTTTAATCATTTTAATGCACAGAGTTTAGAATATTTCGCAAATGAAATGATTTTCTAGTTGTTTTGACAATTTTCTTGATTTTTTACATTATGACTACATGTTACTCAAGGACATCATAAAAAAGAAAGAAAAATTGAAAAAATAGAAATAGATATTTGTCTAGTAAAAATTGTTTAAATTTCAGTAAATTTAATGGTTGAGATAATGTTTTGTTAAATGAGGATTGTGTGATTCAAAAAATGATGGAAAATTTAACATATGGGTCAATTGACTCTCATGATCTAATCATATTTTGTAAGCCGTTACTTCAAACTTCTATCATGTATGCATACATTTTGTTTTGTTTTTGTTTGTTTGTTTGTTTCTCTTTTTTTTTCTTTTTTTTTTTTCTCATAAATTGTCTTTATTATAAAATATATTAACTGAAGAGATTGCATACTTTAACCTTAACAACTAAAAATTAATTACAAAATAGAATACAAGGTAAAAAAACCAGGACTGTTTATTTCAATTCAAGCACAACATCAGCATATAGTAATACCAGGTCTAACCATCTAGCAAAGTTAACGAATGCATGTTTCGTTATTACTTATCCATATTTAAGAACCATATATATATATATATATATATATATAGTTAGATGTGATCAATGCATTGGTTTATTGATTAATTAAAAATGAGGGAATTTACTGCTAATATATATATATATATATATATATATATATATATTTATTTATTACTTCTCTCATAAATTATCCTCACGTAATCATTCTTTTAATTTTTTCGTTTTCACATCATCATTCTTTAAACACTCTAATTAATCTCTTCTGTGAGACTAGTATTTAATTATCTTTTACTTTTATAGTTATGTTCTTCATCAGCTGTCAACTTATCCATGAGAAATCATTCACTTTAATAAAATAATTCAACACTATTTTTTTTTTTTGTCATCAATCTCATTAATAATAATCTCCATACACAATTTAAATCAAATAGAGATTTCTAATTTCATTTTAAAACTCATTACTGAATGCAATTGTAATCAAATCAATCATTCTTCCTTATTTTTCTTTATATTCTTTTGTTTTTCTTTTGGCTAACATTATGATTATATATATATACATATATATATCTATATATTTAGTAATTAAATTTACCTTATTAGTATCATTATTATTATTATCATTGATCTAATTTTATTCTTCCTTAATAACACAAATTCTTTCTAATGGCTTGTTTTTTAGTATTACAAATTATACTTAGATATCATTGATAGGATTTTAATGAATCAATCTAATGAAGTCTCAAATTCAACAAATTTGGCTCATACTCAACTTTTATTGGTTGATAGGTAAGATAATTATTCATCTATTTTAAACTTATGCATTTTCTTATGTCAATAGGACAAACATATGATTTTTTTCAGTGAGTGGAACTATAAAATAAAATTCATTGAAGTATAACAATAAGATTATTATCTATTGAAAAATGGTGAAAAAAAGTAATAAAATTATATTTAAAAACTCAAAAGATAAAATAAGTCATATACTATTAATAGTCTAAATTTCCATTGGCCATGAGAAACTACCTTTTGGCATATTTGTACTTCTAAATATCCATTCTACATACTTGTATGTACAAATAAAATCTACAGCTGATGATATCTTTATTTATATCATCAAATCCACTTTTTTTTAGAAAATTTAAAAACAACTGCAGATTTTATTTGTTTTGTTTATCTCTAAAACACATATTTTTACCATTACTCTGAAATTAAATATTATTTATAAAAATAGTTAATATGATTTTTTACATCAGTGTAAATTAAAATTTATTTTATTTAAACTTTTTTAGAAATTAAAAATAATTTTCCAGTAGTATTATTGAACAAATGAAAATACTCATGTTCATTAATAATTATGTTTAAAATTATTAATTGTAAAATAATAATAAAATTTTATATATTAATTATATATTCAAATTTAATTTACATACATAATTTTCTTTTGATAACTCATAATCCATATAAGTTTTTAAAAAATAAGAAATTACAAATATTAAACATAACTGTTATATTTTTTTAATTATAATATCCATAATATAATATTAGTAACTATTATTATTTTAATTAATAATGATTATATTTTTTAAAAATATAATAGTTATAAAATAATATCAAGTAATAATATTTTTTAATTTATTATTTTAATAATTATAATTTCAAAAATTCTCTTTTATAATTTTTTTAAAATTATATAATCAATATTATTTGTATTTTATGTGAATATAAATTTTATTATATTTTATTCAAATATCAATATAAAAAATAAATACAAAAACCTAAGTTTGTAAGTTTTGAAAACATTTAATAAATAATTGACCATTTGTCATTATTTTTATTTTTTTAAAAAAAATTCATTTATAAGACATTATTTGGATTTTTTTAATAATTAAAAAAAATAATGTATTGAAAAATAAAAATACAAAAAAATAATAAAAAATAATATCAAAATTAATCTAAATTTAATAATCTTGATTTATTGGTGATAGAGAGTTGTAAGTGAATTATCAAAGTGAGTAAAAAAAGATACAATTTCAGAAAAAATCAATATGCACAACATAAGTATGTTAATGATGTTAAAAGAATGTTTGGAAATTATCTAAGGTATTAAAGCAACGTAAGGCCAAAAATGAATATAAGCCTCTTAGGATAAAAGCAAAAGTAGAAGGAGTTTCACAAAAAGTAGAAAAATAAAGTATAATTCTAACATGTATCATTGTGGCGATTCCAATAGAAGTTTGTTAGAGAGCAAATAAAAAAGATTGTTTTTTTGTACTAATCCACTTGTTTCATAAGCTTTTAATACTCAACTTGTTTCATAAGCTTTTAATTTTCAATTTTTCTATAAGTGCATGTTTAAATGAAGTCTAAAGATTTTAGTATTATATAAAATAGCTATAGTTCTTGCAATCTCTATTATAAGATTTTTCTTTGCTTAAAATGAGGTGCCACCTAACCTCACTAATTTTTTTATTATTTTTTTTATTTTATTTTTTATTTTTATTTTTTTTTATAGGCTTGGTGGAAGGTTGACTCATAATCTTCAAGAAAACTAAGATATTTTTTAGAATTTACATCCATAAAATATCAAAACTTTAGGACTTCATATAAGCATGCATTTACAAAGGAATTTAGAATTAAAACCTCATTGAACAAGGAAGCTAATGTAGAATATTTGCTTCTTTCTTACTCACTAACAAACACCATCAAGACACAAACTACACAACTCTTGACAGTGTTTCAAATATTTTATTTGAAGGAAGTTATAAAGGCCTCAACAACGATCAAATAACTAAGTAGTCTTCTCACTTTAGTATGGAACATTATCAATGGTTGAGAGGCTCTATTAACCATCTTCGAAGAGAACAAAGATTGGAGTATGTGGCAAATATAATTTGCCACATCTTAGATTTCATCAACATATGATGACCCCTCCTTATGAAACTTGTTCCTTGAAGGAGAGATAATATAATGTCATACACATGTAAATCAATAATTACCTATATAATTAGATAAAAATAAATGAAAATAAGTCAATTCCATAATATCTTCTATAAAAGCTTCCTAGAAGCTTCATAGATGTTGCTTTGACTTTATAGGTGTCTATAATTGATTTTTTAGATTAAAAATGTAATGAAAAAGTTGGCCATATACCATACATGTTGGTAGCTTGAAGAACAAGCTAACTATGTGGCCTATACATAGAAAAATTATCTTGTAAGCTAAAGTATGTATTAGCAAAGTCAACACATATTAGAGGTCCTATAGAAAATTTTCATATAGCTCCTAATTAGATAGTATATATAGAGGCAAGAATAAAGCCCTCTTCACTTTTGTCAATTCTTTTCTTGCTTCTAGTGTAGATTTAAGAGTCTCTAATTTCCCTGTCTTTTTTATAATAGCCATTTCAATTTTTTTTAATATACATATTACTTTATTGCTATTTTTTCATTTTTCTTTTAATATAAATTTTTTAGGTTTATGCATCTTCTTCTAGTTTATGTCTTTGAC